AATTTCGCTACTGGATATGCATTTGATTATAAGCCCAAATCAATGGCCTGGTCAATATTTCAGAGAAAGGAGGCTTGGTTTGATTATTTTGCAGTTGTTATTGTTACAATCAGTAACACTGACAGCCTTTCACCATTGGTAGATACTATATAAGGGATCAATTATGCAAGCTATTAAAAATTGTTAAATTTTGTTCCCTCGCAGGTTTTTGAACCACAAAACCAAAGTACCTCCAAAGACAAACCTGAAGATAAAAGGTAGGTACTAATTTTTATATATAAAGTACTTTATGCCTTTATTGAGGAGACGTGGTCATATAAAACCAATTAAAAGAACTCATTTTAGGCATCTAACCTTTGTCAGGGAGTCAAACAGAATTAATGAGAGACAATGAATATTTCCTAGTGGTAGTCAACCACTATGCATTTTGGCTGTAATCATTGTTTACATTTTTACATGGCTATTGTAGGCCTTAAGGATGTTAATAATTAATGTAAAAAGTTTATCATGTTTCAGAGATGTACCGGGACAATCAGAAACAATTCAACCTGGACAGGTAATAAGGCAGACTGTGGAAACCTGACATTTTTTACATTCATTGTTGTCAATTCAGACATTTTAATTTGTTTTTCAGATAGTAATATCTGATGCTGATGATATGGAGTCTCCTGAAAGAAACCCAGACAAGGCATCTTACTACAGGTAAGTTCAAAAAATGACATGGACTCACATCATATAATTAATTCAATTCATGGGGAAGAAAAATACATTGTAAGATGTTTTAACATGGACATTGTCATTTTCCAACAGTAAATACACAGACCTGTATGCACCAGGTGTTGAAGAAGAGGACGAGGAGCTGGTTGCAGTCAATGTGGACAATTTCCAACACACAGCAGTGTAAAATTAGATTTTGACTGTGGCATTCCAGTTTTTTACTGTGCAAAAATTCTGTTATTTAAAAGTTCTTTTTTTTTTTTTTTTTTTTTTTTTTTAAAAAAAACAATTATTCTTCTCTTTGCTCACTTTTTGTCATTACAGGGAGGAGATGAACATTACATTACAGGACATTGTAGCAAATCTAGCACTTCCTATTAATCATGAAAGAGTCAGCAGGTTCAACATCTCTGTTTGGGATAGAGCAGTCAGAGGCTTCAGGCGTACAACATATTCTGAAACCTGTGACATGCTAGTCAGATTTATGGATGATGCTGGTGTTTTTGAGGAGGGAATTGACACAGGGGGTCCAAGGCGAGAGTTTTTAACTCTGCTAATTAAACACTTAAAAGACTGGCTTATTTTTGATGGACCAGAAGGTCATCGTTTTTTGGTCTACAATGCAAAAGGTATGCATATGGTTAGATGTGTATTATAATAATGGTTGGTTAATGACATGCATTTTTGCTCAATATCCTACCATATTTAAATTTTGCAACGTGATTCATTCACAGCTGTTAGGGAGGATGAATACTACCTGGCAGGAAAGATGATCGCAGTGTCAGTTGTACATGGAGGTCCAGGACCCCATTTCCTGTCATCAGATCTTGTACATTATCTTGCAGGCCAGACTTCATTCAGATCAACAGTTAATTTAATAACTGATGAAAAAATATGGAAAGCCTTGCATGAGGTGACAATAGCATGTGGTAGGGCAGAGTTTACACATATTTCGTGTCCTTTGTTAGTTTTTAATAGGTAGGGTTACTCCATGTTATGTCACTGGTTAAAAAGAATAGCCAAGGATATATAGTACATATATAGTTATTTACTGGGTTGTTTATCCCTTATCCACCATTTTATGTCTTTCAGATTGAGAATGCTGCTCATTGGATGCTCTGCAAGAATGTATCACAAGACATAGCACAATGCTACAGACTGCAGGATGTCTGAGACAAGTGGCTTCTGTGGATAAAAAGGAAGAAATTGTGGCAGACTACCTCCGATGGTACATTATTGACCGTAACTCATCTGTAAGTGACAGGTAAGATGAGATTTTCCTTGATTTGAAATGCTGTATGGTGTACTGTTATCAGTTATTCACTGTGACTTAGTTTATTATCCACTGATGTCTGTCTCTCCCTTCTGTGACCTCTGCCTATCTATAAGTACTCATCCCACC